CAGCACCCACATGACAGCTCACAACTGTCTGGAACTCTAGTTTCAGGAGTGCTGACACCCTTTCTCATACACACACTTACAGGCAGAACACCAACGTACATAAAATAAAAATAAATAAACCATTTAAAAAAAAAAAAAAGGAAAAGAAAGAGGGGGGCTGGAAAAAAGAAAGAAGAACTCTACTAGATGGCCATAGTGCTGTATGCCTGTAATCCCAGCATGAGCTTTGACAACACTGGGAAGCGAAGCCTGGAGACGCCCAGTGTGGGCCATGTGTTTCCATACTTCTTAAAGTTACTAGTTTTTGTTTGCTGTCAGTTTGGCTAGAGGCTGAAGGCGGGGCCTCCTACACACTAACACCCTCTCCACCGCTTCCATGCATCTTTTTCCCCAAACACCAACTTTTCTGCTTCTGGGTAATGGGAAAATTTAAGGTTGGTTAGCTGTTTCAATGGGCCAAGCGATTTATAAACCATGCAGGATTACTTTTTGCTTTCGTTCTTTCTTCCTTTCTTTCTTTTTTCCTTTTTTTTTCTTTTTCTCTTGACAAAATCTCACTGTGCAACCCAGTTTAGTCTGAGAACCCACCACGACCCTCCAGCTTAAGCCTCTCAAATGTGGGGATCACAGGCATATAGCATAGCACCTGGCACATTCTATTTTAGCTTTAGTATTGATATTATCAGTAATGATGTTATTTTTATCTTGCAAGCACATACACAGATGATAATATGTGAAAAAAAAACAAAAAACAAAAAAAAAAAACCTCCAGAGAGCAGCAGAGGCTGATACAGCCACAATGCAGAGAATAGCTACAGCTGCAGCTCAGAGAGCAGCAGAGGCAGGTGCAGCTACAGCGAAGCCCAATGCCCCTGCTCATCTCTGCTCACACATTACACACAGAGCCATAATTTTGTTTTCCTTTTGAAAAATGCCAGCATAAAGAGCAACCTAGTTTCGAATGCCATGCATGAGGTGGAGGAAGAGTATGTTTTTCGGTTTTGCTTTTGTTCTTTCAGCAAGCACAAAGCTTGGTTTGCAGTGGACACAGGAATTCTCAGCCATCGTGAGGCAAAGGGTATAGCTATCTCTGTAGATTAAAAAGCCCGCTGCTTTGGTTACTACATGGTTTTTCCAAAGTTTAAAAATGAGACTGAGGACTGGGGGTGGGGGGCGGGTTTGAGAGATGGCTCAGAGGTTGAGAGCACTGGCTGCTCTTCCAAAGATCCTGAGTTCAATTCCCAGCAACCACATGGTGGCTCACAACCATCTATAATGAGATCTGGTGCCCTCTTCTGGTTACATGCAGGCAGAACACTGTATAAATAATAAATACATAAATCTTAAAAATAAAATGAGATTGGAGCTGCCGGGTGATGGTGGCATATGTACACCTTTAGTCCCAGTGACTTAAGACAATTGAATTGCTCTGCTTGGCCTCAAACTCCAGCAATCTTTTCTAATCTTCTGGCTCATTCTGTCTTTACCTAAGTTCTCTCTCTGCAATCTATTTTTCTATTACTGTCCCAGTAAAACTGCCTCCTCCTCTTCCTCTCTCTCTCTCATCATTGCCTCTTAAGTATCTTCCCTTTCCTCTCTGGATGTGTCTTATTCTGTCAAATCTTTCTCTGGTTCGTCACTTTTTCTGCCACTCAATTAAACATCACTTTCAAACAGGGACGCTTCCTTCTGCAAACTAACTTTACTTTCATTGTTTGGGATAAAGGAGTGTACGATCACACCCAGACCTAAGCTTTTCTTTACCTGAAACTTGTTCTATACAAGCCTGGCCTTGAACTCAGATCTGCTTGGCTCTGTCTCCTGGATTAAAGGCATGTTTGTATTCCAGCTGGATCACACAAACCTAGAAGGTCTTTGGGTATGATTCTTAAAATTCCTGTACACTTGGGAGGCAGAGGTAGGTGGATCTCTGTGAATTCCAGGCCAGCCTGGTCTATAGAGTGAGTTCCAGGCCAGCCTGGGCTACACAGAGAAACCCTGTCTTAAAACAAAACAAGTGCAATGCCAGGATCACGGGACCCTCAGAAACCACCAGGAGACAACTTGATACAAGAGCAAGAGAGCTTCATTATGAGAGCGATTGAACTCAGGACCCAAGTCTCATTGACAGAGCAGTAGAGAAGTGGAACCCTGAGCCCTGAGTGAGCAGCTTTTAAAGGGAAAGACTGTGAGCAGGGGGTTTCCATGACAGCAAGCAGAGGGGTTCATGCCTTGAAGTTACAGGATTGGGTAAAAGCCATAGGGGCGAGTTGACCTTTTATATAATCACAATTGCCATTCTTCTAAACTACATCTGGAACATTGGGGAGAATTTTCCCAACCGATTCTTATTGATTATTGCCAGGGAGATTGTCTCTATTTTCTATGAAGTATTTATTCTGTGATATTTCCTGGAGGGTGTTGTGTGCATGCCTGTGATCCCAGCACTCAGGGAGGCAGAGGCAGGGACAGGCACATCTCTGTGAGTTCCAGCCAGCTTGGTCTACAAAATGAGTCCAGGAGAGCCAAAGCTACACAAGAAAATCCTGTCTTTGAAAAACCAAAAAACAAACAAACAAGCAAAAAAAAAAAAAAAAAAAGAGAGAGAGAGAGATTGGGGGACTCCAAGATGAAAACAACCCAGAGAAATTGGGAGACACCCCTATTTCTAACAAACCTGACTCTAGATGGTATGAAATCCAGTCCTGGAAACTGGAAAAAAGAATCTTCTCTTTTTATGATCGCATGGCTTGTTTCCAGAGTGAGAAAAATAAGCTATACATGGCTTAGAGCAGGCAGCACCATCTGACATCCCCGCAGGCCTAGTCAGTGCTCCTATCTCAAAACAAAGCTGGATTCCCATTAGTTCTGTGAGCTTCCTCTGCACAGGCTCCAGGCTGCACTTAAGATCAACCTGTAGTTTGGATGTGACCATGTGGCATGTTAGGGATGGGTCATAGTTGTGTATCCAGCTTCCTCAGATTTCAAGGTTTTTCTTTTTGTTTTTTTAATTAATTCTTTTTTCTAAAAAGATTTATTTATTTTTAATGTATCCAGTGTTCTGCCTGCACATAGGCCTGCACACCAGAAGAGGACACCACATATCACTATAGATGGTTATGAGCCACCATGTGGTTGCTGGGGATTGATCTACAGGGCCTTTGGAAGAGCAGCCATTGCTCTTAACCTCTGGGCCATCTCTCCAGCCCCAGGTTTCAGGTGTTTATGGTGAGGTTAGAGAAAGGGAAGGAGTAACGTGTGTACCTTTGTGTGGGGTGGGGAGGGCTGAGATGGGATCTTGGGACACAGCCCAGTTTGATTGTAAACTCAGACCCTCTCTACTCTCTCTGTGGTCTGCACCATCTTATTTAGCACATCGTATCTTATAATCAAACTGCAGAGTCCTCTCCACTGCCAGATATAGCCAAGGGGCAGAAAACACATTGGGTCATGGCTTACTGCCCCAGGCTGGGATTCAACCATGGTCTTTTGCTTGCTACACAAAAGGTCAGCCACTGCACTACAAACAGAGCATTTGGCAACTGCAAAAATGTCAGCATCAGTCAAGTTCTGGCAATCACAAGAAAGCAGTGGCAAACAATGCATTAGCATGCGGCATGCTTGTATACCAGTCAAACCATTCCTGACACTAAAATTTTAGAAAGACTTCATTATTACCTGTGTGCGGGTGGGAGTCAGGGTGTCTCAGTACAAAGGTCAGGGGTTGCTTCTCTCCTTCAACCATCCCCAGCACCACACTTGGGTCTTCAGATTTGAGCCAAAAGTGCTTTCACCCACTCTGCCATCCTCCTTCTCTCATTTTCCTTTTCTAAGACAGAGTCTTCCTGCTGACCCCAGCTGAGGTGACACTCACCCTCTAGACCAGGCTGGCCTTGAACCTGCAGCAATTCTGTCTCCACCTTTGATCGCTGAGGTCACAAGTATGCATTGCCACACCCAGCTTGAATTTAGAATTTCGTATGACTTTCATGTGTCATAAAATTGTCTTCCCTGTACGTAATAGAAAGTAAAAGAAAGGTAGAGGAGAATTGGGGTTGGCTGGAAAGTGGCAGGGCATGCCTGATTCTTTGACCCTATTCTTACGCCCACCATCTCCCTATATTAAATTTTATACTTCTAGTTCTTCACTAATGAGGAGCCACATAATGATGATGATGATGATGATGATGATGATGATGATAGAGAGAAAGGAAGAAGCAACAGCTTTACAGTAAGTGGTTCATTTAAAACACTAGGAAGTAGCCGGGAGTGATGGCACACGCCTGTAATCCCAGCAGGGGAGGCAGAGGCAGGAGGATCTCCATGAGTCCAAGGCCAACCCGGTCTACAAAGCCATTCCAGGACAGTCAAGACTACACAGAAAAACTCTGTCTAAAAGAGGGAAAGCAAAACAAAACAAGCAAACAAAAACTAGGAAGCCTATTTAGGGAGCGAAGATTACATCGATTTCCATGCACGTGAGCACACCTCTGTATTTCTGTTCTTGGGGTTTTGAAATCCTCAGTGTGAAGCAGGGCCCAGTGAAAGGCTTTGCGCACAGACCTGCAGCTGATTCTCCTCATCCTTTTATTGTCTCTCTTTCCCATATCTCGAGTTTCTCCAGGCGGAATACAAAGGGATATGTACATTGTACCTCCCACGTGCCTGGCCTAGACGCAGCAACACCTGCCTAGCCCCCACCACACCTGCCTAGCCCCCGCCACATCCACAGGAAGTAGGTGATTTTGCAAAGGGCTGCAGAGAAAACCGTGGTTCCCGTTTGTGATGAGAAAGCCTATGCTGGGCATCCCTGGAAAGAGGAAGGGGGAGGGCGTGTTTAAAGAGAGGCCTCACCCCGCCTCCTGCCAGCCCCGCCTGCCCCACCCCAACCAGGTTCCAGCCCAAGTATTTAAGAGGTTATTGGAAAGGTTTCCAAACTGAGGCAGCATCAGGTGGCTCTCTGACGTAGCCAAGAGGTGCTGCGTGCTGTTGGGCAGAGGATGTCCAGGGCAGACCAGGGAAAGGATTCTCAGCCCAGTGGGAGCGAGATGAGCATCGAGCTGAGGCCAACAGCCCCCAGCAACCAGGGCCGGAGCAACGAAGCCTTCCAGGTGAGCAGGGCTGACAGGGACTGGGGAACCTGCTGTCTTCACATCTGGCAAGCTTAGTAACAGGAGCCGTGGGTCTCGCTGAACTGCGACAAGAACGTTAATTCTTTAATAGGTACACTTTAAACCCATTCTTTCTTTTTCCGACTTGGACTCCTCTGGGTTGGTAAACCTGAAAAGCCTCTTTCAAGGTCTAGTGTTGATCTGGACTGCCCTCGTCACCAGGGGAACAAGCTGCCTTCCTCTCCCTTTCTTGCCCCTGGTCGAAGAGCAAGTTTCGGGATTTACCATCAGGTCCCTTCCCCAAGATCTGGACAGGGGAAGAGAAGGGACCTCAGCCCCCAGTGGAGGCAGCAGAAGCCGATGGGTTCTCAGTCTGAGTGGAATGTAGCCAGGAGCCTGCCCAGGACAACCTACTTATGCAAAACTGCGTCCTTAGCCAAGACTACTGAGTGATTAATTCTCCTAGTCTTGGGGCTGGGTGCCACAGGTGGCCCGAGAGGGAGGCCAGTCCCTGACAGCCTGCCAGGAGCCTGGGTTTGAGTTGCTCCTTGTTTGGCATGCAACATGAGGGCTTTGAAAGACAGGAAGGCTTAGCAGCCCCTGGGCTTCCGAGACACTTAATGGGCAGAGCACAGCTTTTAAATGGTAACACAAGCCATGGAAGGGAAAGTGCTTGGCATGAGCCCGGTCTCTTTCACCATCAAGTTACCTGCCCTGGTTTGGTTGTCACAGGGGTGCCACCCCATAGTTTGGAGGTATGAGGAGGCCTGCAAGTTAAAATGATAAAACACAAGTGGACAGGAAGATGGCGGGAAACGTGATGTCTGTTGTGTTTTAAGTTTCACATGCTTGGCCTCTCACAGAAAAGAGGTGAGGCATCCGGAGGACATGCTTGAACGCCACAGTATGCATACTGTTTTATCCCTTGGCTGTGTACTGTGGAGAAGCGACCAGAGAAGACAAGGGGCAGGGGCTTGAGGGCCAATGAATCACTGCAAAGTGACTAGAGACAGATTGACAGATAGGATGTCGGCCTTGCGGTTCATGTGTACAGACTTCTCTCCAAACCATCTCTGCTGACAGGCTAGTTTGGTCTCCTCCCTGAGTGCACCATGGGAGGAAAACCTGAGGGCTCCATTAGGAAGAGCAGGAGGGTAGAGCCTGCTTTCTCTGCAATGTCTTCGGTTCAACACTCTGAGGTGACACGCACAGCCCAGTGGTCTACCGCAGCACAAACAGGGGCAAACAGGGTTCCAGCTACTCTTTCCAGAGCTTTCTTTACCAGGGTTTGGATTGCTTTGTTTATTTGTTTGTTGTAGACCTGTATTTACTAGGCAGGATGGTTAGCTGCCTCCAAATATAGTTGCCAGCACTAAGAGGGAAGGTAGTTCAAAGAGAGCCAAGGCATTTGCCCTCAAGAAGCAGAGCGGGGCAGCAAGTCACACAAAGATACAACACAAAACACAGCTTGCAAATCAGCCTGGAGTTGATGCTGAACCCACATGGTGGGAACCACCCCACCAGCAGAAAGCCAATCAGTTGAGCTTGAGGGGCGAAGAGCCTATCTGTCCCTAGGCCTAGGGGCATTAGAGAGGAATGCAAGTCTGCAATGCAGGTGGGGCAGGAGCAGGGCGGCGAGGAGGCGTGTCATCCCCCCACCCCCCTTAATGTGGTCTCCATGAGTTTAAGAGGATGTCTTTATTGCCAGATTGGTTTTTCGTTTGGGTTTCTCTGTGTAGCCTTGGCTGTCCTGGACTCACTTTGTAGAACTCACAGGGATCCTCCTGCCCCTGCCACCCCCAGTGCTGGGATTAAAGGCTCGTACCACCACACCCAGCCACTGCCAGATTGTTGAAGACGCCTCTTACGACCACGTTGGAGGATGGCTGTGTGGATGGGACACCAGCAAGAAGCCCGCAGGCAGTGGCTGCCAGGGAACAAGCTGCTCAGGGCAAGGAGTCAGGGTGAGGACAGGGTGTGAGATGTGCCCTCCGAACTTCCAGTTTTGCTGTTAGATAGGATCAGAATGCTACCTATGTCAGGACTGTTGGGACGATACCACACTGTAAGGAAGTGTGTGCACCACACAGGTGCTTGTGAGAACCAGTGCCTGGCACATACCATAAACATATAATAAGAGCAGCAGCCACTTGGCGCACAGCTGGGGAAAGTGAAGTTTTCTAGCCCAGGGTGTCAGTGTGAAAGACTTTTGTTTAGCAGGGACATCCAAGAGGCAGGTCCGTACCAGGGAAGGGATGAGTTCCATTTGAGGCCTGTTGGCTGAGATTCCATGTGTCTCTATCGAGGTATAGGTCCACAGGCGAGCCTAAAGAATGGGGAAGCTAGAGGATTTGCAGCCGGGAGTGGGGAGAGCCACAGCAGAGCTGAGTGGAGCCCCACTCAGGGCAGGACTGAGGGGAATGGAGAATAGAAGACCACAGGTCAGCAGAGAGCTGAGGGGCAGAAGCTAGGAGAATCAGGTCCCCATCCTCAGAGGCCCAGCTGCACACAGCACACTGATCCCAGGCTAATGCTGCTGTCCTTAACCTGTAGCTATGAATCCCACATGGTATGCATGCTGCTTGTAAACTTTATAGCCAGACACACAAAATGCGCCTTTTGCCTGTCCTCAAACGTATACAAAACCAGTCAGAGCGACGACAAAGGCCTTGTACTGGCCTTTGTGGTGAGTTTTCTAAGATTCCACTGTGGTTTTGTAGACTGCTCTCAGTTCCGGCTGTTGCACTGGCATAAGTTTCCTGTCCCATAAATATTTCTGTGAACGGACAAGTGCATTATCGGTTTGGAGATTTTCTTGGCGCTTCTAAAGTCATTGTAGGATTGGGCACACTTATACACTCTTTTGGAAGAGCAGGAACACTTTGCTCTTTAGCAGTGGAACTGTTGGGCATTGAACTATATCTGTGTTTTGTTTGTGGTTGCCTTGGTGTTTTGTTTTGAGGCAGGGTCTCATGTAGCCAACTGTCCTTGTACTTGAGGATAACCTTGAACTTATGATTCCCATTAACTCTACTTCTCAAGAGTTGGGATGAGGATATGTACGCCAAAACACCGCAATAAAAAGGTCCTAGGGCTCCAAGAGGACTTTGCATGCTGAACAAGCACTGTACTAGCTGAACCCACTAGTAATGCCAAACTGGTTTCTTCTATGATTAGGCCAATTTAGACCCATCAGAAGGGCGTGAGTTCTTGTTTCTCCTCCACAGCTTCCTTCACCAGTTCTCAGTTGGCTTTGTAAGTTCATCCAGTCTGGTTAGTGTGTAGCAATACAATTACACGATTATCAATTAACACAGCACACTGACCAGTTTTATTTTTTTCAGATGTTTTTTGTTGTTGTTGTTGTTTGTCAGGCAATTTTGTCCTTGTGCAAATATCCTCTTCACACAGACCTAGACAGTGTAGACCAGCCCCTGGATTGGCCCCTGGACTCACGCACACAAGTGAGATGCAGTGTGTAAGAAGTGCAAAAGCTGCTTGCCAGTGTAAACAGCTTCTGTAAGTTGAAAGACTGAAGAGCAGAAAGTACACAAGAGGGCAGCAGGAACAGATGGCTGCTGCCAAGCCTGGTAGCTGGGTTCCGTCCACAGGAGGAGAAAAGTGGCTCTAGCCAATTCGTTCCCTCACCTACAACATGCACGCCCACACGCACACAGTCTCTGAATAAATAAGTTCTTTTAAATGTGTGTGGTGACCCAGGTCAACAGTTGCAGCACTCAGGAGCCTAGGACGGGGCATCACAAGTGTGGGGCCACCCTGAGTTAATAGCAAGGTCCAGCCTGGCCTGGGCCACACAGTGCAGCCTTTGGAGTGAGTGAGTCTCAAGGTAGACACGCACTATAAATGAACATGGTGCCACAGGCAGGGGGATCATGATGAGTTTGAGCTCTGCCTAGACTTTATGGTGTCACCCTGTCTGAATGGGATGGAGAGAGGCAGGGAGGGATGCAGGGGAAAATGCGGGCTCTTCCATGGTTCAGTGGCATGCTGCTTCCGTCTCTGAATTCATGAGATTCAGTCTTGTTGATTTAGGGGACCTTGTTTTTTGGTTTGGTTTGGTTTGGTTTTCATATCCTCCATCCCCTCTGGCTCTTACATTCTCTCTACGTCCTCTTTCTCTGGGTTCCCTGAGATTTTATGGAAATATCCCATTTAGGACCGCGTGTTTCAAGATCTCTTAGCATCCTAATTTAACTCCCCTCCTCCTGCGCCACAGGTGACCCTCAGACTTTTTGCTCACTCTGAAGTCAGCCCGGCCAGGTGTGGTTGTGCCTGTCGATCATCCCCACACTCAGGAGGCTGAGACTGGAGGATCATTGAGTTTGGGGCCAGTCTGTGGTTCAATGGTTGAAGGCTTGCCCGGCATACACAAGGGCTTGGGTTCCATGTCCAGCGCCACACACAATGGCAAAACACAAACAAAAAGTCAGCTGGGTGGGGCCCACTTAGGCAAGGCTTGGGGCAGGAGCGGAGTCGGGAAATGCCCGGACTCTGCACACACACAGAGCTGAATGACTCAACAATGGGCAGGGACCCAGCCAGGCAGGTTTGGAAAGCCTGCTTAGCACAGACCAAACTGGAGAGGTCAGGGATGAGAAAGGCTGGAAAGCAGGTGTAGGTGAAGTCATGGTTGGGCTAGAGCAGAGAGATCCTAACGGTCAAGCGAAAGCTGCTCGAAGATTTCTCAGAGCTCAGGGTGAGCCTCACACCAGAGCTGCCTTACACCTCTTCACACATGAATTTAAAATGCAGGGCAGTGACTTGCTTTTGTTATTTGTTTTGTTTTCCCAAAGATACTGTTTTCTCTACAGCCTGGCTGTCCTGGAACTCAGGCATCCTCCTGCCTCTGCCCAGTGACTTCCAGTAAGGGACATTTTTTAAATATTTTTATTTAATCTTTGACAGCTTCACACTTCACACAATGTCTCTTGATCATATCTGTAAAACAAACTTTTATTCTCCTGAGGTAATTGTTTCTT